GTTGATGCCACGAGGACAGTGTAAAAGAAGGTAGACTCGGCTGTCTTGGGTCTAAGAGACGGAAAACCTTGAATTTCAAACGGTGGGGATGACAAGAGGAAATCACACCATTATCTGATGATAATTTACAAGTAATAAAAATTGGAATATGTGAAGAGCCATGATCGCCTACGTCCTGAAGGGACAGAGTATTAAGATCTGAGAAATTTTGAAACTTCTCTTTATAATGTATTTTTCACATTTTTTCTATAAAGATCGTTTATGGGCAGATTGGGAACGTGAATTGAAATCACTCAAGTTATATCCTAGGAATCGAATCTTTAATAACTACTGAGTTTGATCCTCAACGAATGTCCAGTTCTATTACAGGAAACCAAGCTAAGGTTTTAAATTTATCTCAGGCAGGCTACAATGGAGTAACGAAGGGCAAACGGGGGTCTTTTTCCGCCAAATATAAAATAAAATAGAGCTCCAAATAATGGTTTAAATTGTTTCCAACTTTACAGGAGTCCTGGGTATCACGTTAAACTACATCCGTGTCCTGGGTAAGACGATAAACTACATCCAGCAGCAAGGCCTCTGATCAGAAGATTTTTAGGAGCGTGGAACCACTTCTTAATTGCTGGTGTTCCAAGGTCCACCCTGACCTGGGGTGGTAGCACCTGTTAGGGTCCCACCTATGAACAAATAGTTAACACCTAAACTTGTGTAAAAAAATAGGTTTTAATACCAGAAATATTTTGTAATAAAAAAAATTATTACCAGCAATAATTTTTGAAGGAAAAATTATTTTCAGCAATATTTTAAAAAATCAAAATGACAACAATACAAACAGCTATACATTCTTTGGAAAAAAAATATGAGAAGTTATAGATTTCTTTAAGGAAAAATATTCACAGAAATAGATTTTTCAAGAAAAATATATTACCGGCAATAAAGATTTTGTCGGAATTAAATAACCCATTGAGGTGTTGATATGCCGTAAAACAAAACAAAAGAAACCAAAATTTGACTATACCTGAAGAGTTATAGGTTCAATATCAGTAGTGAACCAAAAACGTGGAGAGTGGAGTTAATCTGAGATATCTGGATTTTTTTTTTTTTTTTACAAAATTGTATTTTTGGCAAACCCTTTACTGTGAAAATGCATCACTGCACTTCTGCTGCAAAAATGTATTTTTATACTTTCATAGTTTTAGGGTTAACCAATTCACCATAGCTTGGACCCTAACATGTCGCTACCACATAGGGTCAGGGTAGACCTGGAAAAAAAAAACAGCAATTACGAAGTGATTCCCCTGTAATATTGAAATTGGTCAATAAAAGCGCTCGTTCGCAAGAAACTCGTTTTAATAAAGCCTTGACCAGAGCGCCTTGTTATGCAGTCGTGAATTACGTCATTGATATTAAATATTACCTCATTAATTTTATAGTTAGTTGAACCCCCACATGATGCTTAATATTTGTGGCCTTGTGTAGAGTTTTACTAAACATTACGTATATAGTGAATGCAATTCCTATTAGGTGCACTTTACTGGTGGCGTTGTTTCATATTAATCTAAATTCTGAAAATAGCTTGTAATTGTGAATTAGCTACTTACTAATTGGGCCATGCTAATCTGACTTTGTTGGGTATTTTTTTAAAAAAATGTCATAACCCTTTTCCATAGGCAATCATGAGTCTCCCCATTTTTTTTTAACCCTTCTAAGTCCACATTCACCTAATTGATGTATACAGCAAGAAATATTATTGTTCGTTTCAGTAAACCTATCTAAATGACTCTGACTTAGAAAAATGATATTATTGAATGTATTAATATAAATATAGCAATGGCACATAATGTCTGCTCTATCCCGTATCAATGCGTTTTGGGGACAGTTATATCCCGCGGGATGTGTTGAAAACATCTCTGAGACACATACGTCCCAGGGGACACGAAAGGGTTAAAACAAACATTGGATCCACGCATAAAACTAGGCATCACCTGCTAATATATGGCAGCAGTAATCCCTTTTCAGCCTGATCTGGTGCTTGAAATGGTAAAGGATAGCAGGAGAAGTCTAGGGAACCAACCATTTTTCCAGCATCCTTAGCGATGGATCTTATGCATTACTTCCACTTGACGTCTGGGCTGAGTTTAAATCCGAATAGGCGCTTAACCCTTTTAAGTCTACATTCGCATAATTGATGTATACAGCAAGAAATATTATTGTTCATTTCAGTAGACATATCTAAATGACTTTGACTTTGAAAAATAATATTGAATGTATTAATATAAATGCAACAATGGGACACTATGTCCGCTTGATCCCATATCAATGCGTTTTGGGGGAAAATTATATCCCGGAAGATGTGCTGAAATCATCTGTAGGACACATACGTCACAGGGTTAATATATTATTTAATTATTTTATAAAATTGACATGGGCTCTCAGGAAAGATAGTGGAGTGGTTTCCTGTTGACTTCTCAACGGTTTAAAACCCAAAATTTTTCCTTATTCTACATATGCGCTCTGCTATTTATCCGGGATTGGGGGTTGTGATTCAGGTTTTTGTTAAGCGGTATTAGTGTCAGACTAGGGACGAACTTGAACTCAGTTCGCTAATTCCACTTCTCTTACCGATAAACGTTAAGAAACCTTCACATCGGAATCATTTTTTAAAATCATTTAAACCCCAAGCAAGGAGATAATGCCCCTAAGACGCAAGGGGATTGCTGCGCGTGAAAAAGAATGGGAAGACTTTAGTGACGAAAAAGGAAAAATGAAAGAAGATGTAGATTGGCGCTGCATTTATATTTTTGAAGATTGTAAGCGCCAGCGTAGCAAGAAACCGGACGAACTTCAAACTTAAACCAATCTCAATATCCATAAAGAAACACGCACTCTGATTAACCACTAGGGGGCGTGCATAACCGGTTATGGTCAGGCACTTGACAAACAAACCTGTGTTTGTGAACGGGCTATTTACTGTAACCCATCTTAATTCACCACGACTGAAGATCTAGATGTAAACATGTACAATCAATGAAGATCCGAAGCTATGCCTGGTAGAACATTAAGGAATGCCAACAAAATGACACCTAGCCGTATAAGGGCATCCTAGACGCCTTGCCGTATAAGGGCATCCTAAACACCTTGTCATATAAGGACATCCTAGACACCTTGTCGTATAAGGGCATCCTAGACAACTTGTTGTATAAGGGCATCCTAGACGCCTTGCCGTATAAGGGCATCCTAAACACCTTGTCATATAAGGGCATCCTAGACACCTTGTATAAGGGCATCCTAGACAACTTGTTGTATAAGGGCATCCTAGACACCTTGCCGTATAAGGGCATCCTAGACACCTTGTCGTATAAGGGCATCCTAGACAACTTGTTGTATAAGGGCATGCTAATTATATTTTCATATTATAATGGCTTACTAGTTATAGTGATTTTCCAAGCTTAGCTTAGATGTGGCACAAGGCCCAAAAAATGGGGCACCCAGTGAGAATCGAAATGATTACTTAGTGGTAATTGTTCTAGCGAGACAAGCTTGCTAACCATTACGCCGCCCCGAGGTGACCCCCGGCATATTAGTTATATTATCATATTGTAACCATGCTTTTTCGTTATTTAGCGCCATGTCGATGCTTAATATATAATGAATTATTCCATTTTGATTGTGCGAAAAGACATCAGAGATACTTTTTAGTTGACAGGAGAAAAAGAAAGTGAATGAAGTTAGAGAAGCTGATAACACTATAATGTATTTTACGTCAGCTCAAGTGAAATGAAAAATAATCATTTGTACCCACTTCTTTAAATAATGAGATCCATTCATTTTTATGATTGTTATTGCAATATATTTTGGTTGTTACGCTTCAATATTTAATGATGGATAGTTTATAGTCGTAGAGAAAATTCGAATAGCAAAACCGCCTAATTAATTATTATTAATATTATTATTATTATTATTAGCAGTAGTAGTAATAGTAATGATAGTAGTAGTAATTGTATTATTGGATGAGAAAGCATCATGCCAACAAAGTGAATCTAGTGTACAAATATACGAAACTTAATACCTAAAATGCATGAATTTAAGCGTGCTACTAGGTTGGCATCTTGTTCCCACCCTTTTACTTTCGAAACAGTTAAATGTAGCCGCCTCTTCTACTCTAACAGCTTCTTCTCTTGCACTTCCCAACAGTGGAACTCCCTTCCTCTTATTTGCTTTCCTGATATCTATAATCTTCAAATATTCAAACGTAATGTCAATCTGATGCTTTCATCCTGGTCACTGTCCTTCTCTATATCCTTTCCTCAAACACCCCCGTCTTTGCTCTTGCTCTCTGTAACCCCTTGCGTGCTAGTCGCACTCCCGCCTTGCTTGAGGTGATATGCTTAAAAAACAAAAACAAAAAACAAAACAAAACAAAAAACTTCAGAACATCCAAGACCCGGCATATGTATCACATTATTATTATTATTATTATTATTATTATTATTATTATTACAGTTGTGTTGTTGTTATTTTTGTTCCTTTTGTTTTTGTTAAGAAAAAGAAAGACAATAATATTACAAAAATTGTCCATATTTTTTGGCTCTATTGTTGGAGCATATTTCAATAACATCAAATTCTTCTTGATACATTAAATATTTATCCAATGTTTCTTGAGAAAACAGATTGTCTATGCCATAAATTATGGTAGTTGATCCCAAGATGACAGTGTAAAGGAACTTCACCAACGAGGTGGATAATTAAACACGCACATCGAACTGGATGCTATTATCAGTAAAGTATATGCAAGAACAATCGGACTGAAAGAGTTTTTCCTTCCTTCTTTCCTTCCTTCCTTTTCTTCTTTCTGTCTTTCTTTCTTTATTTTTTCGTTCCCTCTTTCATCTTACATCTTTTTCATTTTCGTCATGTTTTTTGATTTCTTTGTGTTGTTGTGTTATTCTTTTTTTCTTTCTTTCTTTTCATCTTTCTTTCCTTCTCTTTTCATTTTTGTCATGTTTTTCATTTCTTTGTTTTGTCAACTTATTTCTTCTTTCTTTCTTTCTTTCTTTCTTTCTTTCTTTCTTTCTTTCTTTCTTTCATTTATTCCTTCCGTCTTTCCTTCTATCTTTCCTTCTTTCTTTCCTTCTTTTTTCCGTTTTGACATGTCTTTTTATATCTTTGTTTTGCCAACTTATATTTCTTTCTCTCTTTCTTTCATGTGTTTTTATTTATTTCTTTACCTATACATATTTTTTCTTTTTTCATCTTTCTTTCATGCCTTTTTATTTATTTGTTTTGCTTATTTACGCTTTCTTTCTTTCTTTCTTTCTTTCTTTCTTTCTTTCTTTGTATTGCCTACTTTCTGGTTTCTTTCTTTTATTATTTATTTCTACCATTTCTTTTCATTCTTTGTTTTACCTCCATCTTTCTTTCTTCTTTTGTTTTCCCTTCTTACTGCTTTCACTTCTTTCTTTCTTATTTCATCCTCTTTTTTTATTTTTTCTTTCTTTACGGCAATCATTTCCACGCTGCGCTGAGTTAGTTACCTACTAGTCGAAACCTAGCTAGTATCAACATTATCCGATGTTATTTCCAATGTTTCCGTGTTTTGTGTCAATCGGCTCTGTCCAATGGACACGGCGTGATTGAACTTAACATCCACATTTACGTGCGACGAATCCAGCAAATAAAAACGAGACATCGAGGGCAGACTCCTAATTGCGGTGGGACATGTAACAGTGTCAGAGGAGAGCGAAAAGAGAAGATCTCTATGCAGCGTTATTATTGGTAGCACTGTTTTCGCCTGTACTTTCACTTTCGTTTTCTCTCGAAAAGGAGATGCAATCACGGCTCACTCTCCATGTCCAGAACTGGTACACTTCACTTGCCAAAACTGCCCATGCCATCGTGTAACGGGCATTATTTTCTATTGGACGGACCTGTCTGCCAGCGTGTAAAGAATTGAAGAGAGCAATTAAATACACCTGTGTTGGCTGTTCGTTCTACATTGCCACAGGTGGCCACGGCGTGTTAAGCCCATCAAAATTGAACTCGCCAATTTCAGGAAAGCGCTCGAAATGAAATGACGGCTCATTTACTTGAAACTCAGTTTCAGTGAAGAGTGGGATCTGGCGGCAGGGAGAGGGGTCTTGGTATGAAGACCATTAAGAATATTGTTTGCAAAGGGTATGTGTGTGTGTAGGAGACAGAGAAGCAAGGGGACCCGGCATCACTCACAACAAAATAGCAATCCTAATAATTCCTGGTTCTATTCTTTTGATCTCTACCCTATTTCATCTTTCTTCGTACATAGTTTTCAGCCATCTTTTTATGATTTCATCGTCCATTCTTTTTCCTTATTTCTTTTTTCCTTTCATTCTTTCCATCTACTATTTTCTTTCTGTTTTTATCTTTCTTTCTTTCTTTCTTTCTTTTTTTCTACCATCGCTTTTCATTTATCTTTTTCTTTTACCTACCGTTTTTATTTATTTATTTATTCTTTCTTTCTTTCTTTCTTTCTTTCTTTCTTTCTTTCTTTCCTCTCTCTCTTTCTACCATCGCTTTTCATTTAACTTTTTCTTTTACCTACCGTTTTCATTCATTCTTTATTTTCTTTCTTTTCCCTTTCTTTCTTTCTTTCTTTCTTTCTTTCTTTCTTTCTTTCTTTCTTTCTTTCTACCATCGGTTTTCATTTATCTTTTTCTTTTACCTACCGCTTTCATTCATTCGTTCTTTTTTCTTTCTTTTTCCTTTCTTTCTTTCTTTCTACCATCGCTTTTCATTTAACTTTTTTTTTACCTACCGTTTTTATTCATTCTTTCTTTTTTCTTTCTTTTTCATTTCTTTCTTTCTTTCTTTCTTTCTACCATCGCTTATCTTAACTTTTTCTTTTACCTACCGTTTTCATTCATTCTTTCTTTTTTTTTCTTATTCCTTTCTTTCTTTCTTTTTTCCTTCCTTCCTTGCTTCCTTTCTTTCTTTCTTTCTTTCTACCATCGCTTTTCATTTATCTTTTTCTTTTACCTACCGTTTTCATTCATTCTTTCTTTTTTCTTATTCCTTTCTTTCTTTCTTTTTTCCTTCCTTCATTGCTTCCTTTCTTTCTTTCTTTCTTTCTTTCTTTCTTTCTACCATCGCTTTTCATTTATCTTTTTCTTTTACCTACCGTTTTCATTCATTCTTTCTTTCTTTTTTTCTTTCTTTCTTTCTTTCCTTCTGCTTCTTTTCATTTGGTCTTTCTTAACCTTACCTACTAATTTTATTTCTTTGTTTCTTTTCACCTCAGCTTCTTTCTTTCTTTATTTTCTTGTAACATTTCTTTTCATCTTCATCTATCTTGCCTCCCTACCGTTTTCTTTTTCTTTTTTCTACCCTCTATCTCTATTTATTATTTCTTTATCTTGCATACTTACCGTTTTCTTTCGTTCTTTCTTTCATTTCCATTTCTACTTTTTCTGTATTTCTTTCTTTCTTTCTCCCCTCGATTTCCATTTCTTCTTTTTCTTTTACTTATCGTTTTCTTTTTCTTCCTTTCTTTTTCTTTCTTTCCTTCTTTCTTTTTTCGTTCTTTCTTTCGTTCTTTCTTTCTTTCTTTCTTTTTTCGTTCTTTCTTTCTTTCTTTTTTCGTTCTTTCTTTCTTTCTTTCTTTCTTTCTTTCTTTCTTTCTTTCTTTCTTTCCTCGATTCCATTTCGTTCTTTCTTTCTTTCTTTCTTTCTTTCTTTCTTTCTTTCTTTCTTTCCTCGATTCCATTTCGTTCTTTCTTTCTTTCTTTCTTTCTTTCTTTCTTTCTTTCTTTCTTTCTTTCTTTCTTTCTTTCTTTCCTCGATTCCATTTCGTTCTTTATCTTTTACTTATCGTTTTCTTTCTTTCTTTCTTTATTTTTTCTTCCTTCCTTCCTTTCTTTCTTTCTTTCTTTCTAGCATCTCTTATCATTTATTTTTTCTTTATCAGCATACCTATGCATATACTGAATAAAAATAAACATAAGTCAATACACCAAATTAGCACATAGGAAAATAGATATGAAAAGTTAACTACGTTCACTAAAAACTGTGTTAACCACAGTTGGTGAACAAATTATCTTAGGAAAAGCCAGATATCTTCTTAGAAAATCAAAACATTTAGATCATCTGGTCCTTTCAAATTCAGGTGGTCCATCTTGTTGAAACGAGAAGACCAGTCTAGATAAAACATAGGCTCACAGATTTTGAATTTTCACCTATCATCATGGACAGGCGTCCTACCAAGGAGGCTCCTTACCTTGAACGTCTCTTGGGACTCCAGCCGAAAATGGAGCATTGCTTCTATATCTGGTCTATATCTGGTTCAATCCTCACTTACTTGTTTTGACAGATTTCAAAACAAAAATTTCATGGCCTCGTGGGTGATGAATTATTTTCCGCCCTACAATCCCTTTTCCACAATCGGATCGTCGCAATATTCTCGCTATTCTATCGCTATTTCCATGGCAAATGTTCTGACGAGCGACATTCCTTGCTTCCACCAGCCCTGACCTTTGCAGTTGGAACCCGCCATGCTGCACACACACACACACACACACACACACAAAGATTAATCATACTTAATGCCTTTGTATTCCATTAGTAAGGAGTAAGTTGCAGCCAGACAGCTTCTTTCTAAGAACTGCTGCTTTGTGGAACACACTTCCAGCCGAATGTTTTACCAATCCCAACAATCTTAGCCGCTTCATTTCTAGGGTTAACCGTTAGTTTTCCTGTATAACCACATAAACATCATTTCTTGCCTTTTCTCATACACCACCAGACGGTTACTCTCTACCTTGAGTTGAATTTTATTAGATGAAGTATACATGAAAAAACATAGGTTGTTTTATACCTGGTGTTTCAGTTAGACCATTCCAGTTTATACTGTATTTTCCGGCTTGCAAAACGGACTGTTTTTTTCCTAAGAAATGTTGCAGTTATTTGTGTATAATATGTACTAGTGAGCCAATCCAAATGACTTGACTCACTTTATAGTCCACCAATAGAAGGTTAACCAATCAGAAGACGTAGAATATTTAATCCGTCGTGTATAAAGGCGGCCATTTTGTGTACTCTACCCGAATGTCCAGTACCAGCTTGTCAGGCGAAGAGGAACAGAAGGAAGAACTACACTCTGCTACTTTTACCGGGATATCCACTGCTAACCTGAACTACGCTTCCCTACTGTCTTCGAAATATTTCACTGCTAACCTCTGGATTCTACACTCAAAGACGAACGTCATCATGAACAACAAAAAATACCCCGAAAAGTAAGTGTGCGTTTTCCAAGACGAATGTAAGGTAAAACCCAGGCTCAAGTAAATTTTGACGGTCACCTAATTGGCTTGACTGACAGGGACGTTGATTTTTATGTTGAGTCATTATAGTATAATATTAGCTATCTATCTAATTCAGCCTTTTATATGATGTAACCTCAGCATTTAGCTGTAACAACTATTTCCAACACTATAAACCTTCCTGGAGCCGAGCCACAACCTTAAACATAATTTGTTTACTAGCAGCGGCGGGAGCCTTTCTGCTCTTGACTAGTTTGTTATTGCCATAAAAACAAAATCGGGCGTGTGATTAATGTAAACAATACGTGGCGCCAGTATGTGAGGGACACATAGAGAATGTGTTTTTGGATGAGAATGTTTTTTTTCTTAGCAATTTCTTTCCAATATTAGGGTGCGTCTTCCAAGCCTCAGCGTCTTTTAAACCGAAAAATACGGTACACTGTTTAGAGTAAAATATATTCCTCTAGACCAGAATAGACGCACGCTTTTCCGATGTAATAAGTTGATTATTTTTGTATTCCGCCAGACTGGTGGGGTATTCCTGCCACGTCTGGGCTGGAGTTGACCAATCCTAACTTTCCAGCCTTGCTAGTGTTCACAAACATTTACACGGCCTTGTGGGTGATGAACGGTTTTCCATCCTATAACCACTTTCCCGTTGCTCGCCTCACTAATTTCGTCACAAACTACATTCACCGGTTCAACCAGTCCAAACCTTCAGAGACTCGTCTTTTGCCACGTATGCAAAATTCCCATTCATATTCCATCGATAAGGAGGAAGCTCCAATCAAACAGCTTCTTTCCCAGAACTGCTGCTTTTTAGAACTGACTCCCTAAAGGATGCTTCCCCGATCACTAGTTATGTTCTTATATGCATAAACCTGCATCCTATATCAAGTGTTCCAAGAAATAGGACTTAGGATAAACCTTTCCAAAATAGAAAGTATGACCTGGAATTGGAGTGAGAGCAATGATAGCACCTACCCTAAATCTTATAAAGATTCAGGATATGAAATTAATAAATACTAAATATTTCAGATGCCTCGATGTATAGATCAATTATAGCAAATTAACTTTATATTTCTGAGATGAGGTATTATGTCCACGATTTACATTATTCGGACTATTGTCCTCATCTTTGTCGCCATATTTATACGTTTCGGCATTACAACGTCTATATTTCTGAGATGAGGCATTATGTCCACGATTTACATTATTCGGCTTGTCCTCATCTTTGTCATATATTTATTACGTTTCGGCATTTCGAGTATCTTCTATAGGTGGTTGGAATGCCGAACTGAACCATCTTTTTATTTTTCGCTCACTTCGGCCTTCTTCTGGTTGGAATAGACTGTATTTCGCTCACTGGGGTAGAACTTAGTTCCACGTGCCATGTGCCCTTGAAAACTGATAACTGACATCAATTAGACATGACACGTGGAACTAGAAAGAAAGAAAGAAAGAAAGAAAGAAAGAAAAAAAGAAAGAAAGAAAGAGAGAAAGAAAGAAAGTTAAAAGAGAGAACAAAAATACAAAAGAAAGAAAGAAAGTAAGCTAAAAGCGAGAAAGAATAAAGTTAAAAGAAAGAAAGAAAGTTAAAAGAGCGAAGAAAAATACAAAAGAAAGAAAGAAAGAGGAACGAGGAGAAAAATACAAAAGAAAGAGAGAAAGAAAGAAAGAAAGCGAGAAAGAAAGAAAGGAAGAAAGAAAGAAAGAATGTCAAAAAAGAGCCGAGAAGAAAAATACAAAAGAAAGAAAGAAAGAAAGCTAAAAGAGAGAAAGAAAGAAGTTAAAAGAAAGAAAGTTAAAAGAGAGAACAAAAATACAAAAGAAAGAAAGAAAGAACGAAAGAAAGAAGGAAGGAAAGAAAGAAAGTTAAAAGAGAGAAAGAAATAAAGTTAAAAGAAAGTTAAAAGTCGACCGAATACAAAAATACAAAAGAAAGAAAGAAAGAAAGAAAGAAAGTTAAAAGAGGGCCAAAGAGAAAAATACAAAGAAATAAAGAAATTAAATTTCTCCTGTAGCTGACGATTATTATTATTATTATTAATATTTATATTTTACATATTTCATTCATTTTTAATTTTCTACTTTTTTTTATACACTTATTTATTTCGCTTATTTGTAGTTGCTAACATTTTGTTTTTGTTTATGCCAAATTTTCAATTATATGTCTTTGTTTCCTTTGTCGTCCATATTTGTATGTTTGGTTTAATAGCTTTTCTGGCATCGTTTTTTGTTTTCTTTCAATTATTTTTTTATTCAGTTATTTCTTTTAATTTCCTTCCTGACAATATTTTTTTTTTCCTTCTTTGATCTCTTTGTCCTCACCTTTATTTTTTTTTCTTCTTCATTTATTTACTTATTACTTTTCGTTTTTCTTCTTAAAGTGGATATGTTTACTAAAAAAATCTCAATCGAACAAGAACGAGAGCAGGACACAAAACGAGAACGAGAAAAAAAGATAGCTCCCCGTGAACTTTAATTAAAAACCGACCATGCAAGGCAAAGGGCGATCTAAAATGAAAATATGGAAACGGTAACAAAAAGAAACAAATAAAGAATTGTCTGGAAACACCCCACTAGGCGGATGGAAACAATGTCAGTGGTATTATTTAAAATAAGTTTGACGGCATGACGTGATATTAATTTCTAATGAACCAAAGACGTAAGCTAATGATATCGACAGTTTTAAAAGAATTATATTAAAATGAAGGGAAAATGCGAAGTCAGTAAAAAAAGAGAACAATAAAGTGACTTCGTAGACCATAGCGCGCCATCACAATAAAATGGAACAAAGAAAAAGAGAAAACTCAAAAAAAAGAAAGAAAGAAAGCGCGAAACTCAAAAAAGAAAGTCAAAATAAGGACGAGAACAAAAATACAAAAGAAAGAAAGAAAGAAAGAATTAAAGAAATAAAGAAAGAAAGAAAGAAGGTCAAAAGAGGACCGAAAACAAAAATACAAAAGAAAGAAAGAAAGAATGAAAGTAATAAAGAAAGAAAGAATGAAAGAAATAAAGAAAGAAAGAAAGAAGGTCAAAAGAGGACCAAGAACAAAAATACAAAAGAAAGAAAGAAAAAAAGAAAGAAATAAAAAAAGAAAGAAAGAAGGTGAAAAGAGGGCCGAAAACAAAAATACGAATGAAAGAAAGAAAAATGGTCCAAAGATGGCCGAAAACAAAAATACGTAAGAAAGAAAAAAGAAAGAAAAAAGTCGAGAGCGTCGAAAACAAAAATACAAAAGAAAGATAAAAGAAAGAAAGACAGAAAGTCAAAAAGAGGGCCGTGAACAAAAATACAAAAGAAAGAAAGAAAAAAAAGAAAGATGGAAAGAAAGAAAGAAAGAAAGAAAGAAAGAGGAACAAAAACAAAAATACAAAAAAAAGAAAAAAGAAATAAATACAGAAAGTCAAAAAGAGGGCCGAGAACAAAAAATACAAAAGAAAGAGAGAAAGAAAGAAAGATGGAAAGAAAGCAAGAAAGAAAGAAAGATCAAGGGAGGACCAAAAACAAAAATACAAAAGAAAGAAAAAAGAAAGGCAGAAAGTCAAAAGAGGACCGACAACAAAATTACGTAATAAAAAAGAAAGAAAGAAAAAAAGTCAAAATAGGGCCGAGAATAAAAATACGAAAGAAAGAAAGAAGGAAAGAAAGAAAGAAAGAAAGAAAAAGAAAGAAAGAAAGAAAGAAAGAAAGAAAGAAAGAAAGA